GCATCGGCCGCCGAGGGAGCGTTGGGAAGAGGCACGAGGAGGGCGCCAACCTCAACCGACTATGGAGGAGACCAGTCGCCAGACGACGCAGGGCAGACGACGGGGAGGCGGAGCAGGCGCGCAGGGCGAGACGAGGGAGGGAGCAGGACTTTGCGGAGATCAGCAGGAGGATGTACGAAGAGGAGCAGCAGGGACCCGAGGGGCCATGTGGAAGACGGCTAGTAGTCCCCCACCGGGAGGACGACCCCGGCTAGTCGCCGACCACACCCACAAAAAATAAAATGTTCTTAGCTTCAAGCCCCCCTCCGAGACTGGAGACAGTCACACCCCAGTATCAGACCAGGGGGAGTGCCCCCCGCCCCCACTTGCCCTGACTGCACAGGATAGCGTGCCCCGATAACGGCGACACATAGTGGGGGACACTGCGCAAGGAGGGGGTGCGAAGGCTCATTGGGGTACTAGGTGGGACCATGAGGGGGGGTGGGCGGGGTCCTGTGGGGGTGAAATGTTGCGCGGCGAATTCGAACCTACCCCCTCGCCGCGCCGATCCTCACGCGGAGGGTAAAACCCTGTGGGAGAAAACCCCCCCGCGGCGACCACACCCACAAAGAACCCTGCACAAAGATCGCAAGGGCGGGGACCTGTTCCTTTTTACCCATCTCACAGTGGAGGGCTGAGTTTTTATTTTCTTATTTATTTACGTCGAACGATCGGAAGGGTGCCGCCTGCCACTAATCTCTAATGGAGTCCAGCGATGTGGGACCTCAGTCCCAGAAGCTTGGAGAGCTGTGCGTACCAGCACTTGTATGCGAGCTGTGGGTGCGTGGGCTCAGCTGCGGGGCGCGTGCTGGGCCGCAGTACGGGGTCGTACTAAATAACTTTTGCCGGAGAAGGTATACCTTTAACGTAGCCCCAGACTAGGATCTCCTACACGCTATACACGGCTGCGGCTCTAGCCAGTACACGTACCCCTCCTAGCTAGCGTCGCTAGTCTAGCGTCGCTACGGCGTAGCGTACGCTGAGGGAGGGTGTAGAGGATGTAGAGTGTAGAGCGCTGTAGAGCTGTAGAGCTGGAGAGCGCTGTAGAGCTGTGTAGAGCTCTACATCCGCCGCGTGACGATGTGAGTCCGATGTAGAGCGATGTAGAGGCGCTCTACAACGTGAAATCTCTACCACAAACTCTACATCATAAGCGGCGAACGAGGCACGGTCGCTCTCCGACATGAGGCGCGTTGCACTTGCCAGTGCTGCCCTGGCCTTCTGTCTGTGCCCGCCCAATGGGTGGCAGGTGCCTCTGCTGCTGTGGCGTGCCTCACGGCTGCGACTGGCCGGCGCCTCGGCGCGTCAGCTCGGCTCGGCGTAGCGATAGTGGCCAGCGCAACTCGCTTGGACTCAACGCTCAGCCACAGGAGCTCCCGCACGCGCTGGCGCGAGTCATGGCGCATGCAACGCGCAGCAATGCTCTCCTCGCCTCGCGCAAATGCGACCGTCCTCGCAGCCGACAGTCCACCGCCTGCTAAAGAAGCACTGCGACGAATGCGGCACCGGCGACGCATGGCAGGCTGGTCATGACGCAGTTATAGGGTGTTGTGTGCCGTCAGAGTGACTCTCTGTGTGTGTCAGGGATAGTCAGGGCCGTCCACCAGAGCTCCAGTAAGCTCGGAGACACCCCATTAGTGCGACTCGACCTCTTTGAGTCACTGCCTTCCCGGCAGTTTCACTGTAGGGCTGTAGAGCCTCTACAACAAACTCTACAGCAAAATTGCGCTCTACATCGCTCTACAACGCACCCGCCTCGTCTGTCGTCACGCGGCGGATGTAGAGCTCTGGTAGAGCTCTACAGCTCTACAGCGCTCCAGAGCGCTCTACATCTCTACAGCTCTACAGCGCTCTACACTCTACATCCTCTACACCCTCCCTCAGAGCGTACGAGGCTACGAGCTACGAGCACGCGCCGGTCGGGTACGGGGCGGTAAACGAGCTACACGCCGCGCGCGACGCGGGGGCCGGGATCTGCCGGGGCCGCTCGCGGGGGCCGGGGGGCAGCGGTCATTCGCTCTACGGCGGAGCTACGGCTCGCGTGTCCTGTGCACCGTACGCGCTACGGCAGCTGTACGGACTCTCACAGATCAAACGCACTTTGACAGCTTTCATTTAATTTAAACTGCAGTATTCTTTCTACGTTTCCGCTGCTCTTCTAGTGTCGGGTAGTGACCAGGGGTGAGGGGACGGATTGAAGATCCCTCACACCAAGACCGTGCAGGGCGGGGACACATGTCCCTAAATCCCATCTCGTCTCAGAGTTTGACCGTTATTTATTTATTTATTTTACCCTTTTACCCATCTGCCACGATCTCACCAAAACGCGCTACGCCTACGGTAGCGCGCCCGGGCGCTATAGCGGTGTCCGTTTTTTTTACGTTGAACGTTCCCCTTCCTCCTCCGCGAAGTAGGACAGGGCTCCAGCAGCAGCGGCTCCCTTCCGCAGCGCCGCCAAAGCGGGCGGGTCGCCAAAAAGCGACACAAACACCCGCAACTGCACGCACTCGAGCGGCTCTCCATCGGCGGAGACGCGAACCTTCAGAAAGTAGTTTGTGCCCGCCACCACCTGAGAGTGCGCCTCGAGCACCAGGTAGCATGGCCATGGCGTGAGCTTCGCCATCACGCCTGCCGGCAGCCCGCAGTATCGACGGCGTGCCTCTGCGCTGACTGCGTCCGCGATGTGCTGATGCTCGGCGGTTAGAGCCGCGGCGCGGGCGGCGCCGCACAGCACCGGCGCCGGGGCCCGCTCGCTCTCGCTGCGGAGGATGTCAGCGCGCGCTTGCACCTGGTCCTCCTCCATCCCGAAAAGCCGCTGTGTTGGAGCGCAAACGCAAAAGAATTTTCTCCGCCATCTACCCTTATAAGTCTCTCGTGTCGGGGCCGACGCTCTTTTAACGTAGAACGTCCCAGCCGAAATCCGCCCGCCACGATCGATCAGTCCACAATCGTCGGCCCCCACCCAGCGACCCGCAGCGATGGATGCCGCCGCCCCCCCGCCCCCTGCGGCTGACGCGCCGATGGCGATGCACGACCGGCCTCCGTCGGATGGCTCTCCGGCCTCTCCGGCCGCTGACGCGGCCGCCCATGCTGCTGCCGATCCGGTCCCTCTCACGCTCAGCGATATCCGCACAAGCTACGACAACTTCGAGGTCGCCGGCTTTGGCCAGGTGCAGCCACCACCTGCTTGCCTCCATGTTCACGCTTCGCGCCCCTTCCCCCCCTCTGACGCCGCCGTATGGCCGTAGGTGAGGGGCACGACTACCCGCCTGGAAGGCGCTCTCATCAGCAAGTCACCCTCTTATAACGCTCACAGCGCCTCACAACTCTCGAGACTCCGGTGAGACCGACGAGAAACGGACGGCCGAGTTCGCGAGCGAGCGAGTCTGAGCAGTGTCTACGAGGGTGCTCCTCACCATCGTATCCGATGGCGGAGATGGCGGCAGCGCGGTATAGGAAGAGCAACTACAGCAAAAAGTCGTCGTCAAGCATTCGGTCGTCGGCGTCCGCGCGACAGACTCCGCCGGCCTCTCCTTCCGCATCGCCGCGCAAGGGTCGGCCGCACCCTCGCGACATCTCATCTGTGGCAAAGTCACCGAGCAAGTCGCCTGGCAAATCGGGCTCTGCCGCTGTCATTCCGAACGACCACGTAAAGGTCGCCGCCGCTTCACGTCGTTCAGACTCCCCCGACTCCACCAGAGGAGCGAAGCTCTCTTGCCTCGCCGAGTGCTTGCCAGTGCACGTGCCTGAGAGGGACTCTGCGGGACGATCGCTGGCGCTCCCCGGGGAGGAGGAGGAGGCGGCGGAGGCAGGGGAGGGGCACGGGGCGGGGATGGCAAAGGTCATGTCCTTCCTCGTCAAGCTCAAGAAGCTTCCCATGGAGCACCTGACGCAGTACATGTCTGACAAGCAGAACCGCAACAAGATTTGGAGGACGATCGAGTCGAGCAGGAACCAGAAGAAGGTGGCGAGGAAGGGTATAGCGATGGGGATCGGCGTGGGCGTCGAGTACGACCGCATCCTCGAGCTGCACGGCAAGGGGATCACGTACACGCATGAGGACGGCACGCTGCCAAAGACCATTTCCTTTCACGACGTCCGGTACGTCGGCGCCGTCGGCGGCGGCCGCTCCTCGCGCTGGAAAATCGTTATGAAGGACGAGAAGCAGCCGTGCTATGAGTTTGCGGCCGACACAGTCAAAGCTCGCGACGTGCGCGCCCCGTTCCGATCTGCACGAAATGTCCCCTCAGTGGCGCCAACACCCCCTCCGCTCGCCGGACTCAGGCGTGGGTGTGGTGCGTGCGCAACAATTTGCACACCTTCACGAGAAAGAACAACCTGGACGACGTGCTCGCCAGCCCGAACGCCAAGACGCTCCACAACGCCTTCTCCGTGTCGAACGCCGCCGTCGCGCATGATATTCGCCCGATGGAGACCATGGGCAAGCTGACCGAAGAGAACGAGGGGACCTCTTCATTCTCCAAGCCGCAGGCGCGCCATTGGACTGCCTGACGCGGCCTACGCCCACGCCTCTATTCGGTCGCCTGCTACTGCCTACTTCTTTATCGCCCCTTGCGGAGATGATGCTGTGGCGTGGGCTGACCCGCGGGGAGAGGTCTCAACGGCGGTGAGATAGCTGAGAGAGACCGGCTGATTTGGCAGTTCTCTTTCCAGAATGTTACTTCTTTCAATGGGAAATTCGGCGTACCTGCCGCCTTACCGCCATGCTATCACGCCTTGGGGCCCTTGCCCCGCGCCCGCCTCGAGCTTTGCTTGCCGCGCCCCAGTGCTTGCGATTTACTGGTAAATGAGTGGTATTTACCACTTATTTGATTCTCCTAGGGAGCAGAGAGTGGTATGGTAAAATACCGAACACCACCAGTCGGGGGGGCGCAGCCCGGCTGGGCGCCGGCAGCCGGTGGACCCCCACTACGGTAGCCACTAGCACTACGACGCACGACCGCCCCCCATCCAGGAGAAGAGCGTGGCGGCCATGATGACATCGCCATCGCCCCGCCTCCTCCCCCGCACCAGCCGCAGGGCCAGCGACCTGGGGCATGGGGCTCTGCCGCCGCCGCCAATCCCATCACCGCTGTCCGCAGCGCCGACCAGCTCCGCCAAGGCAGGTGCTCCACACTTGGCTCTCGTAGCGCCTGCGTGAGCTCTGCGCCCGCCACTCCTCGATGATCTTCTTCACCAGGATCTTTGAGGGGTCCTTCCACTCGGCGCCGAGCGAGCAGATGGTCAACGCATTCCTAGGACTAGCGCACATGAGTACGGCAAACTGGGTGGGCTCAACACCCCAATCTAGCCATACAGTCTAGCTACGCCGCCTGCTCCAGGCCCTCCTCAAACTCGGCAACTGCCGCATTTGTTGCTGCTCCGCCTGACGTAGCAAATGGCCAACCCATGTGTCGGTATAGCCATCGTCATGCCGGTCCACTCTGAACTTGCCGCGCGTGAAGTAGCAAATGGCCTTGTCGGCAGCAGCCAGCTTATTGCGCCGCTTCTTTGCAATGAGCTGCTCGGATCGCAGAAGCTCATGCCGAGCACTGCCTCGATCTTGAAGATGAACGTTGTCGGCACCGCAAGCCGTGCCTGGCGCGGCGCCGCGGCCGCCCTCTGGCACTTGTAGCGGCAGCACATGGTACGGTGCGCATACTTGAGCAGGCGGGTCGCGCCGTAGCTGGCACAGGGGCCCTGGGTGTAGGGCGAGCGGCATCGACGTCGACACCCGGTTTTCTCCGGTAGGGTATACTTTTGCAGGTACTAGCAGACCTTGCGCGCACGCGCGCCAAATTTGTTTTTCTGTCTGCAACAACAGCCCGAGGGGTGAAATGTCTTTGTTGTCTCTGTAATGAAGGGCCCGCCGCTCCGCCTACGCCGGCGATGACCCTCTCGGCAGAGCGACATCGCGAGCACCGGGCAGAGAAGGACGCAGAAGCGGTTGGATGGAGAGGCAGCCGGCGCACGAGGAGAGGCAGCCGATGGAGCCGACGAGGTGATAGACACGAGTTG